TAGATGGTATATAGATGATAGATAGATAGATAGATAGATAGATAGATAGATAGATAGATAGATAGATAGATAGATAGATAGATAGATAGATAGATAGATGCTAAAAAGAAATATATCACACACACACAGAGCTGTCGCATCTGTCTCCTTTCAGCCAATCTCATTGTTCATCAACCTATGCTGATACTATCTAATGCTTGAATTATAATAACCTACAAATAGGTATCTCTACTTCCAAAACCACCTTTTCATATCCATCTTTTAGCTGAAATCCAGATATGACTATGCTATTCTTTACTTAACAGTTCCACAGTTCCTTTTGGCCTAGGATAAAATCTAAATTCCCCTCATGTTTAGCACCATAGTGATTTCCTACACAACAGTCTCCTTGGTAACTGCTCTAAGAATTACCCCAATCTCAACTGAGCCAGAATCACAGGGCTGCAGAGGGAGATGGCCATGTTGGAATGAGAGCCAGCCTTATGGTCAGCCTTGGTCCTGAGTGTTCACTTGATCACATTTGGGGCAATAGGTCCTTCATTTGCTGTGCTCTGCCAGGTTGAGTCCAGGAATGGCTCCCATTTGAGTGCACTGTCCATCACTCCTGCTGGACAGGAGCCTGTCGTGAGACAGAATGGTGGAGCCAGGAGGCACAGGAAGTGTAGAGTAGAGTCAGATGGTCTTGTCACTCTGGAGCTGAGCTTCTGTTCTCAGAATGAAAGCTACCCCCTCCTCCTTCAGACACACCAACAGTGTCTCTTTGGACTCAATGTACCCCTCACATACTCCTCTTTTCAAGTTCCCTCTGTATGTGTATTAACCAGTATCCAGCCCCTGTGTTTGCAACTAAAGGTTTTAATTGTGCACCTTCTGTTTGCTGAGCACCTAACGGGCTTGGCAGTAAGTACAGCTCTCGAACAATCTTGTCTAAGGCAGCTACAGTAGGCCATGCCAGCAAACTGGTTTTCCAAATGGAAACATAGAAATTATCCTCAATATTTCACTTCTATCCATCTGCTTCTGTGATTTCACATCGTAAATAGTTAGTATAACTACATGAGTGCTGACAGAGGCCTGTAATCTTACCTACTTCATGGGCTGAGACAGGAGGATTGCAAGTTTAAGGCCAACTGTATAACCGTTGGTTTAAAATTCATTGTCAGCTCTCACTTCTCCCGTGCTTCCTGGAACTGTGGCACCCTCTCTTTGGGGAGAGCATACAGTGCCACAGCCAAAGACCGATGTTTAGTCACACCTGGGATAGCTCATTCAGTTCTCCCAGGAATCTGTGTGGTTGTGCTATTGTTAAAACCACTTCCCTACTAATGGGCACATGTGCTGAGGCCTGAAGAGCAAGGCACTTCTCTCAAGGTTGGTCAAGTCTTGACAGAATACAGACCAGGTTCGCCAGGCCCCATGCCCTGTGTCCCGACAATTTTCCTTGAGGCCTTCCCATCAGGTCTCTGTGCTTGGGTTAAAGTTTCAGAATGTGAACTCTGATTTAATTCCCTGTCCATTAATCACTTCCAATCACTTCCGCCATGTCAGAAATAAAACCATCCAAGCTCCAGATAGACAGACGGTTGATAGTCCAAGTCTATGTCAGACCTAAATACCCCACAGCCATGGGCACTAGCAAAGTGGAACTGTCTGGTGTGGGAGATATCTTTGCTTAGTTAAGAGCGTCACCTCTCTCAGCATCCTCCTCCTCTTCCTCCTCTTTCAGGGCCCTGAAGGTGATTTTAAGAGCTGTCACTGAAGATCAGGCCAGTGAGGGGACCTCAGGGCAGGTAACAAAGGGTTAAGGCAGCCGCTGGCAGAGCATGCTGTGGAGCTGTACTGAGACTGGTGACCAAGTCAGCTGTCCTCAGAGAACAAAGACCCCCCCCAGAGCCCCTGTTCACTTCTGTCACCCCCGGGAAGCCCGGAGAACTCTTGATTAGGATTTCTGAGTCAGCTCCACTGAGGCCTACAGAATAAAGCTGAGGAACAATGCCTGCCACATTCACACAGCCAGCAGTCCCCAACACCGCCCCCTCCCTTGGGGCCTCCAAGGCCACTTCACCTCCATCAGGACAATCGAAGCCTCCAGCCTGCTGGAACAGTATCCGGAGAGGAGAGACGCAGGAGCCCAATGGGGGACCTGGCTGCAGAGGGCCCTGGCTCTTATTGCAATGTGTGTGTTGTGAGGGGAGGGACTAACAAAGAGGGGTCTGATATGAGGACTGGGAAGGCCAAATTCAGGGTTTGGGAGGGTCAGGTTTCACTGTTCTTATTTCATTGGACCAAATCTATGCTTAGAGTTTTGCGCTAGACTCATGGAGACCCCTGACCACTAGCCTCCAGCCTGAGGATCCTCTTGGAGAGTAGACGAGACCGCACAGGGTCAGGAGTCCTGGAGCTCAGCAAGACCACAAAGTCTGGAAGCTTTGCTCTTCTGGGTCAAGCCTCTTGCATGATGGAATGTTGTGGCTGCTTCCAAAGCACCTTGGATCCCGAGACTTGGCTTTATCCCCATAGAGAAGACTTCATATCTAGACCACAACTGGCCTTTTAGGTGAGGATCCTGAACTCTCAGAGGATAGAAGGGTACCACTTCGCTTTCCGTTGTATAATGGTAGCATCTGGGTCATAAGGGTGCCTACAATGGCTGACAAGTGAGCTGTGTGGCTGATGGTGAGGTCATGTCAAAAAAGGGGCCAGGATAAGGGAGAAGGAAGGAAAAAGAGGGAGGAAAGGTAGAAGGAAGGAGGAGAAAGAAAAAAAGATGGGAGGGAGGGATGAATGGAGGGAGAGAGGGACAGAGGATAACAGGAGTGGGAGGATGAAGAAAAGCAGAAGGGAGGATGGAAAAGGGAAGAGAAGGTAGAAGACAGGGCAAGGAAGGAAGGAGGCAGGAAAAAGAAGGGAGGAAGAAAGATGGAAGGGAAGAAGGAATGATGGGAAGTAAAGAAGAGATAGAGGGAGGCCTGGAAGGCTGATCGGCATGGCACCATCAAACCCCTTGCTCCACCTCGCCCCATGAAAGGTCAGCTCGGCTCTTGAACTGGTGAAGCATTTGTGCTGACATCTCCAGATGCAAAGACATCAAAGCCACTGATGGACCTTGATGCCTGATAGGGACTGAAGCCTCGGGAAGGGGTCAGAGGCTGAGGATGTATAGGAACCTGGGCAGTGAGGGTGCATGTAGGCTTGAAGCAAGAAGGAGCCACAGAGTGAAGACAACTGAGTACTGAAGACCCACTGTCCACCGTGCCATGGTGCTAATGAAGGGCATAGAATTAAAGAAGGATAAGGACTGGACAATGGACCGTGTGGTTTCAAGGGAGAACTTAGCCATTCTCTGTCTCTGTCTCTGTCTCTCTCTTTCTGTCTCTCTGTCTTTCTCTCTCTCTTTGTGTGTGTGTGTGTGTGTGTGTGTGTGTGTGTGTGTGTGTGTGTGTGTGTGTGTGTGCACGCACGCGCTCTCGCATTCACTGGCCAGAAGTCAACATCACGTATCATTCCTATGTTACCTATCTTGACTCTGAGACAAGCTCTCTTCCAGTACTTACACGAAGCTGCCTGGCTGTGGATCTACCTGTCCCTGCCTCCCCAGAGCTGTGTACCATCACGCTTTTGGGGATCCATACTGAGGGACCCGTGTGGACCCACCTCTGGGTCCTTATACTAACACAGCAAGACCTTCACTTGGCAAGTGGTCTCCTCCGCCCCAAGAACGGAGAACTTTAAAGTCAGACAATTAGAAGAAGTTGGAGTTTTACCTCAGCCACCTATTGGGAACTACAGTTTCCTTACCTATAAAATAAGGGCCTACTTTTTCACAAGGCCACTGTGAGAATTCAGTGAATAAACATGCACATGCAGAGCCTGGCAAAAGAACCATGTAATAGCTGGAAGTACTGCTGGGTGGACAGTTAGGACAAACGGAGAGCTGAAGGGCACCATGGAGCAACAAGTCAATGCTGGACACAGCCAGGGAGGGCCCAGCAGTACACATTGCAGGGGCTATAGAAGATGCCAGAACACTAGACTGAAAAAAAAAAAAATAGTGCCAAGGAACTATTTATGACTGTAAAGCCATTTTAGAAAAGAGAAGACTTGATTAGCCTGGGGGCAACAGGAAAGGGGGTGAGTGCTCAGGAAGGGTAGAGAGAGGGCCAAGCCTTCCTCCAGCATGATGGCTCAGCCATTGGGAGAGGCCTCAGTATGGCCACCGTGGTTCTGCAGAAGGGATGTCCATCTGCAAATTGTGCAGTTCTTGACATCAGTTTCTAATGTCGCTATCTTCCTGCCCTTTCTTATTCTAGCTCCCCACTTTCCCCTCACTCCCAGAACCCAGTGATTTCACACTTCTGCCTTTCCCCTGTCAAAACCTGCTCTACCAAGACTTTTTATCGGTGCCATGGAACAGGGAGGGGTTGACAATTTAATGCTTGTGTCCCTGGGGACTCTA